CCTTTTATCTACCAATACATAATTTCCAACAAACTACTGTCATTTTGCCCTACATCATATCTTGTATACTTATTATCGCTTTTTCTTAAAATATGTATTACCTATAACTAAACCCCTTTCTATACAAAGTTCAATCAAAGGGCTCCCATTATCATTTACACCTGGCACCCCAAACTTACCTACCACCACCCTTTCTAAAAGTTTCTCCTACTTTAGCATTCAGGTCCCCTACCACAATTACTCTCTCACTTGGTTCAAAGGCTCCTATACATTCACTTAACATCTCCCAAAATCTCTCTCTCTCCTCTAAAATTCCTCTCTTCTCCAGGTGCATACACGCTTATTATGACCCACTTTTTCGCATCCAACCTTTAGTTTAATCCACATAATTCTTGAATTTACACATTCATATTCTCTTTTCTCCTTCCATAACTGATCCTTCAACATTACTGCTACCCCTTCCTTTGCTCTAAACTCTCTCAGATACTCCAGATTTAATCCCATTTATTTACCCCCACCGAAACTCCCCTACCCCCTTCAGCTTTGTTTCGCTTAGGGCCAGGACATCCAACTTCTTTTCATTCATAACATCAGCAATCATCTGTTTCTTGTCATCCGCACTACATCCACGCACATTCAAGCATCCCAGTTTTATAAAGTTTTTCTTTTTCTCTTTTTTAGTAAATGTCTACAGGAGAAGGGGTTACTAGCCCATTGCTCCCGGCATTTTAGTCAACTCATACGACACGCATGGCTTACGGAGGAAAGGTTCTTTTCCACTTCCCCATGGGCAACAGAAGAAATAAAGAAGAACAAGAGCTATTTAGAAAAAGGAGAAAAACCTAGATGTATGTATATATATATGCATGTGTGTGTCTGTGAAGTGTGACCAAAGTGTAAGTAGGAGTATCAAGATATCCCTGTTATCTAGCGTGTTATGAGACATTTAGGTATGCATATATACAGTATGTCCTAGGTAGTAGGTTGGTAGACAGCAACCGCCCAGGGAGGTACTACCGTCCTGCCAAGTGAGTGTAAAACGAAAGCCTGTAATTGTTTTACTTGATGGTAGGATTGCTGGTGTCCTTTTTTTCTGCCTCGTGAACATGCAAGATTTCAGGTACGTCTTGCTACTTCTACTTACACTTAGGTCACACTACACATACATGTACAAGCACATATATACTCACCCTTCTGGGTTTTCTTCTATTTTCTTTCTAGTTCTTATTCTTGTTTATTTCCTCTTATCTCCATGGGGAAGTGGAACAGGATTCTTCCTCCGTAAGCCATGCGTGTTGTAAGAGGTGACTAAAATGCCGGGAGCAAGGGGCTAGTAACCCCTTCTCCTGTATATATTACTAAATGTAAAAGGAGAAACTTTTGTTTTTCCTTTTGGGCCACCCCGCCTTGGTGGGATATGGCCAGTGTGTTGAAAGAAAGAAAGATATACAGTATGTACTTGTATCTGAGTATACTGTATGTCCAACAGGTTTGTAGTATACATTTGCATGTGCATGAATGATGCACTTTGCAAATTTTAATTCTTACTAAGGATATGGAATTGCAGATGTGGAAAAGCTGATCAGGGCTTCAATCCCTTCAACCAGATAGTTTCAGTTGTGGTGCGGAGCCAGCACAACTCTGGCTTGGGTGTACTTCCTCCGGAGGGGCATGCAGCTCCAATCAAGGAGGAGCCAAATTATGACAGCCTGGATGAGGGTAACATTCAACATGAAATTCAATATACTGAGCTTGTGAATGAAGGTAGGTAAGAGCTTTGATTCAGCCAAGAACACTAGCCAACATAATTTAACTTTTTTTCTAGTTCAGAAACCAAATAGATTCCTTTAAGTTAACTTTGATGCACTGATCACAAATCTTAGCTTATTTAGTCTCTATCATGTAAAGATTTTCTAAAAACCTTAGGGATCAATTTTTGGCTTTAAACCCCTTTCATAGTGTCTTGTAGAACTACGTATTGAGGCCAGACTCACATTTCTACATCAGAGCTCAGCTCACTAGTAAGATGATATTATGTGTAAAGGAAGTGAAACAGAATTCTTCCTCCATAAGCCATGCATGTCGTAAGAATGACTAAAATGCTGGGCAAGAGCTGTAGCCCTTTCCTGTATACGTCACTAAATTTAAAAGAAAAACTTTCATTTTCATTTTTAGGTCACCCTGCCTCATGGGATATGGCCGGTTTGATAAAAAAATAAATTGTGTTTTGTGTGGAGTGTGCGTGTGAGCATACCATGCATAACAAATAAACAAGAATTTCCATACAGTCATGCACCAAAATTTAAAATCAGGGGTTTTCAGCTTTTGTCTTGGTTGTATTGCTGTCCTGTACCATGTCAGCAGTTTAGTCATCAAAGGGATTTCGATTTTCCATATATTTTTTCCCCCTCCACGATGGCTGTGTTTTTGGTGAAAAAGTTCCATTTTTGGGGTTTCTTTTTCCAGATTAATGTTAGGCAAAACTAAGTATCCAAGATCAGTAGAAACACATTAGTTGGAAATGTGTTTTTAAACATGAACTGAAGAAAATGTTGGCCAGTGGAATTAGAGCTTTGTGCTGTAAAACATTATATAGTATTTTTACAGTAAATTACATATACCTAAAAAAGTTCATGTTATTATTTTTATATATATATAGTATTATGTAATTTAAAAGCACTTTTGAAATATAATTATCTGTATTGCATGCACACATCAGTCTTTTTTGCCAAAGCTTTTGTAATTAATGCAACTTTATGCAATTTCTTATCTATAGCTACAGAAAGAGCTGAGCTTGTGGTATTCTGGTATTTAAATTTTTGTAAGTACCATTTTATATTTTTGTCATTATCATGTGTGTTTTGGGGATTTCTTCCAGCAGGAGAGTGGTAGTTGGTGTCAACACAGCTGGTACCCAGAGTTTGACCCCCCCATCTGCTTTTTACAAATATTTTCTTTCCAAGGGAAATTTAACTACAAGTTAGTAAATGTTTTAAAATTACAGTTGTTGTTAAAAAATAACTGAGAACATTAGGCCTTGTATTCACAGGAATGTATTCTAAAAGACCTGTTATTAGAGACAAAGTGAGAATGTAACACTCCACCATACCAAGAACTGTGTGTGTGGACTGTTGGGAGGTATGGAGTGGTTGTCAGGGAACCGAAATTACACTGCCTCGGTTCTTTGCTGTGTGTAACCACTAACACACAACAGATGTGAGGTGAGTGAGGCAGGTGGGATGCTGGTTTTGTTGTGAGGTGGGAGGCACTGAGGAGGAGGGAGGAAAGTAAGATGGTTGAAGGAGGGAAGAAAGGATTGTAAGGAAGGGGGAAAGGAAGAGAGACCGTGAGGAGGGGATAGTAGCTATGTGGGATGAGGCAGGCAAGAAGGAAGCAAGGAGGGATTAAGCCATATACAGTACAGCCTCTCCTCATATGACTGAGTTGCGTTCCCAAGACCATGTCAGTAGACAAATTCGTTGCTAAGCAAGGAGCATACTATGATGGTAGTGGGTTTGTGTCAACCATCTTTGATATTGTTCTAATGTCACCTTTACACCATTTATAAATTTTTAGTAATTTTTAAATAAACTTTATATAGGTGTATTTGTATATTGTATTAAAAGAAAAGGGAAATTGAGCTCTAATTCATATTTAGGTATGCATCTGGTGAAAGAGCCTGTTGCAAGTCTGATCTTTGGGTAATGAGTATGTAACTAAGTGAGGAGGGGCTTTTAGTTCCCCCTCTTATCTGCGGGTGGTCCCTTTCCAAGCCCTACCGTAGATGCCTAAACTGCGGTAGTAGTGAAACCCTAATACAAGTCATTTTTTCATTTGCATACATTCCTAAACCTAAATTATGCAAAAAATTGTGCATGAATTAGGGTTTAATTGTGCATAAATTATGCCCAAACAATTCATTACCAACATTATATACTAATAAATATATTGTGCATTATTATACTTTTTTTTTTTACACAGGTTTGAAAAGGGTTAAGGATCCCTAGTTTTTGACAAGCTATTTACAGGTTAAGGATTCCCTAATTTTATGAAAAGAAAGAGCTGTTACCCATAGCTCATTTGAAAGCTTTTTTATTATTTGAACATAAAGTAGGAAAGGATGAAGTTGGAGCCATTGGGGGCCCACATTTTCATTTGATAACTGATGTTATCGTTGACATCATTATGCTGTACAAATGGTTTCATATCGAGTCATTCTGGTTATATGATCTCAATGGAGTGATGTTCGGAGAAGGTACAGCCAGATAAAGTTGCTGCTTCTGCCCGTCTTGTGGCATAATATTTGTCTCACCTTTTCCTCGAAGTGGATCCAGTGTGTACCTTTGACATATTGCCTTGTACATACAGTAGCCACCCACATCCCCCGTGTTGAAGGCTCTGCTGAAAATGTTGATTTTTATCCAGGTGGGTCCAGGCAGAGATGAGACTCTTGCTCTGTTCTCTACTCTGCCAAGCAGTCGCAGATGAGCGGGGCAGGCAACCAAGAAAGTGAGCTACTCAAGTGTGACGTACTTGTGCCTCGTACGAATCTTGCAACCCCCTACTGTCAGCAGTGCGAGTTTACAGCAAGTGCTGTAAGCTTCCTGGCTGCCTTGTTTGCAAATTTACAACATGGTTCTTCATGGTTTTTTGGATCAAATTTCACCCCAAGGTTCACTTTTTCTCCAGTGCCTACACCCTCCCATTCATCCTTATACTGCCCGCTTTAAACCATCATGGTGCCTAGGATGATCTTATTGCATTTTCTCAGGTGCAATGTTACTTGCCATCTTTTTCCCCCAAGCTGATATACCTCTCAGCTGGTGTTTGATTTTCTTAGACCCAGCTGCATTTCTTCTCGGGAAAAGTGAATGTCAGTGTACGTCGTCTTCACATGCTGTTGATTCTGGGATGAATAGAAGTCTTGATTTGACTTCCTTTAACATGGTCCCAGCATGTTTCCCCTTGTGGACACTTGCCCCATGATTCTTGCTGATTCCTTTCCATTGAGAACTACACTTGGGAAATCTACATGAAGGTAATCGCTGAGGAACATTCGTAGAGCCTGCATTCCCAGTGCTTGAAGTTTTGCTCCCGGCCCCTGTGCCACACCCGTCGAAGCGCCAGCAATGTCCATGCTACCCCCAGCTGACTTTGGTTCATCCATGACTGGTCCCCCCACTTATGGAGAGGTTTCACAGTCAGCAGCAGGAAACCCCTTTCTGAGCCATATTGACGATCACAATAGTGAGGATAGTCAAAAAACTCTGTCATATTCTTGAGTTTTATTGTCTCAAGGTTCTTACCAGTGATTGACAGGTGTGACCTGGTCTTTTAGTTGCTGATTTCTGCTCTGCTCTTCTTTTTGTGAAGGGACTAACATTTGCCCTCTTTCCATAGAGAGGGCCATTTACCCTCTCTCTCTCTCTCTCTCTCCTCTCTCTCTCCTCTCCTCTCTCTCTGTCTCGTCCTCTGTCTCTCTGTTCCTTTTTGTCTCTCTGTCTCTCTCTGTCCTCTTTTCCTCTCTCTCTCTGCTCTCTCTCTCTCTTCTCTCTGTCCTCTCTCTCTCTCTCTCCTCTCTTCCTCTCTCTCTCTCTCTCCCCCTCTCTCTCTTCTTTTCTCTCTCTCTCTCTCCTTCTTTTCTCTCTCTCTTCTCTCTCTCTTCTCCTCCTTCTCTCTCTCCTCTCTCTCTCTCTCCTCTCTCCCCCTCTCTCTCTCTCTCCCTCTCTGTCTTCCTCTCTCTCTCTCTGTCCCTCCTCTCTCTGCCCTCGCCCCTTCCCCTTTCTCTCTCTCTCTCTCTTCCTCTCTCTCTCTCTTTTTCTCTCTCTTCTTTCTTCTTTCTTTCTTTTTTTTTTCTTTTTTTACACGGGTTTGACAGGTTAAGGTCCCTAGCTTTATTGACAGCTATTTACAGTTAGGTTCCTAATTTTGTTGCACCCTAAGAGCTGTTACCTACATCACTCATTTGAAAGCATTTTTATTGTTATGAGACATACAGGTAGGGAACAGGATGAAGTTGGAGCCATCTGTGGGCCAGCATTTTCATTTGATCAACTGATTTTATCTCTTGACATTCATTATGCGTCAATGTGTTACATCATTCCATGCTTCTTCTCTTTTCCCCTCTCTTGTCTGTCGTCTCTCTCTCTCTCTCTCTCTCTCTCTCTCTCTCGAAATGGTAGAGAATTTTTTTCTGAAGGTAATGAAACCAAAACTACAAAATTTGATGGAAAACTCATGAAATTATGACCTCGTAAAGTTAGTGGTCTTGGCGATATTTATGCATCGGCAATTTTGCCCGCTTTGCTCTCTATTTTTGGCCAATTCCATTGTTCCAGTCGACCAAACTCATAGCTATTTCACTAGTATTCCTTCTATTCTATTTGAATAAGTAAAGAAACTGCCCATTTATCTATTTCAGCTACCTAATAAAGTGATCAGAAATTTGTAATTTGACCAATTTTACACAAGAAATGCTAATTTCAAAATAGGGTCCAGAATAAACAATGCAGACATTCCTGGGACTAAAATAACATTTTCTCTGTTCATTAGTCATGTCTCCAGGCCCCTCTTATATTATGCTTGCTTTCTATTTTGAATTTTTATTCACACAAAAAAATAGAAGATTTACTGTTATGCAGACTACTGCATTATTGTAATAATTGTATAAATAATGTCAGTGTATTTTTAAATGCGTATTAGACTGGCCACTTGGACATGTATTGGACATATGACATTTGTGTACTCTGGAATATCGTCAAAAA